TGCCCCTCCCCCACTCATTCTCTCTCTCTCTCTCTCTCTCTCTCTCTCTCTCTCTCAAAATATAAAAATTAAAGAAAAAACAACTTCTGTGGTCAAGGGTATCTGTCTTTCTGGAATATGTCTGAAAGGGACAAGGATGTCATATAAGTGTATGTCACTGTATCAAAAAGAATTTTTTAAACATATACCTACGTGTAGAGTTCACCCATCAGCAATTTTTTCAGGTTATTTCTCTTTCATATGCCTCTAATTATAACTCCCTGGGAGTATATCAAAGATAAAGCAATGAATGTTAAAACCTGATCCAATTTAAATTCCTCTGAAAGGTGTCCTAGCTTCACTTGACAAGTACCAACCTGCTGAGTACTGTTCCCCTCGTCTGCCTATCACAGACCTGGTGGAAAGTGTGAAGGCTGGGTACGAGGCTGATTTTCTAATGTATTTCAGATGGCTGACAGCCACAAACCTTACAGGATTCCTGACTGAAGGGTGCCTGCCTTAGAATAACAGCCATGTTAAGATCATTTCTAGAGTAACTGATTTCTTCTATTAGGTAATACGTTAACTGCTTTCCCATTCTTTCCTACTTTCTTTTTTTAAATGCGAACAAAAGGAACATACCAAAGCAATAACACAGTGACTGGGGAAAAGACTAGCAAAGAGAAAAAAGTAATTATCTCCAACTTTACACATTCATTTTCTTGCTGTTGTTTGATATTTCACTCAAATCTTCCACCTTCCATATATATAAGAATATAAAATATCTAAGAATGTATGTATATCTTAGACTTCTGCTACTAGGTTCACTGCATTTCTTTAGGGTAGGGAATTCAAATGTGAAGCTAAACAGTCCAGTTTACACCCCAGAATTTTGTGATATTTAATGCATTAGCTTGTGTATTCCAGCCTCCGTGGAATTCTGAACTACATTTAGTTTGTGCCAGTCAGCGTCTCCGGGAGACCCCATGGTAGGACCATGGGACAGGCTGAGATCGAGAAGATCCAAGACCTCAGGTTCACAAGTCAGCAGAATTAACAAGAAGATCATCATAACATGCTCGGTCCCTTTGTAGGCACAGAATCATTTCGCTAGAGGGAAAACTCCATTCTTTATTTTTCCCAGGAGGGATTAGAGGCAGGTGGTCCCGGCAGATTTTAACAAGACCTTAAAAATCAAAATTGTCTCTGCTCTAGGAAGCACTTATAAAATAGCAAACTTCCCAGACGTGAATAACAATCATTGCTGTGTACATGCTCCCCTGTCTGTGATTATTTAGTGTCTAGGGCAGGTCATTTAGCCTAAGTATGTGCCCTATAAAACAGAGACTGGTTCTCATCAATCCCAACATGACCCTACACTCTGCAAGTGGCTGCAGTGACACTATTACCTTCAGGTGAGATGTTGTACTGCCTCCACCCTTTCCTTCAGCTCCAAAGGCTGAGCCTCTCTTGACAAGTTTATTGTTTGAGTAAAAAAAATACACATTCCAGTTACCTGCTGCTCCCAAGCTGTTCTTGGCACACCTTTCCTGTCTCACAGAGCTGCAATCTACTTTCCCTCTCCCTTCAAAGGTGATACACTAGAGCTAATCCCACGCCCTGTGCCTTATCTTCTATACTGGCTCAATGATTGGCTCTCAAGACTAATGGGTCCCACTGGCCAATGTGGTGCATGTAGGCAGAGAGCTTCTCTGCTAAGCTCAGTGTTGGACTTGTGCCTTGATCCAAACTTCCTTAGGCCACAGAGGGAAGCACTAAGGAAGCCCAAGGTTTGAAGGAACACTGGACTAGGGAGACAGGAACCCAGGTTCTCAGTGCTAGCTTGGACATTATTAAATCACTGTGGGATAGGACAAATTGTTTAACTTCTCTATACTTTAGTTTTGAAATATTATGAAGTATTATATCCTTGCTGAGCTCAAACGCTGATGCAAAGTTGGGCAGTATAAGAGTAACCTAGGGCTGTCATGACAAAGCACCACACTGGGTGATGTAAAACAACAGAATTTTTTGTCTCACATTCCTGGAGGCTAGAAGCCCTAAATCAAAGTGTCAGTAGAGCCATGCTCCCTCTGAATGTTCTAGGGAAATACTGTTCCCATACCTCTCCCTAGCTTCTGGTAGTTGATGGCAATCCTTGGCATTCCTTGGCTTATAGAGGCATCACTCTAATGTCTGCCTTCACATGAAATTTTCCCCTGTGTATCACTGAGTCAAAATTTCCCTCATGGTATAAGGACATCAGCCATTAGACCTTATTTCCAAATAAGGTCACATTCACATATACAAGGTGTTAGGAATGAAGGTGTTTTTTTGTTTGTTTGTTTTATGAAGGGCACAATTTAACTTGCAACAGGTGATGTCTAATGAATTAAGGACCAGGGTGCAGTTGCAAGAGTTGACTCATACAAGAGAGGAATAGGGACTAATGAAGAAAAGCTTTGGCATTAAAGCATCTTGAGCCAAAGGGACACGTGGAATGGTCCAAATGTTGTGAGTCTCCCAGCTGAGTTCCTTGACCAGTCAGGGTTATGTGGAAAAGGAAGATTGAAAGAAAAGTTGAAAGAGCACTTTCATAAAGGGTCTTGTGAAAATTTGGCTTGCGTAACAAAAATTGCAATACAGAATGAGGAAGAGAGCATTCTCTGAATCACTGTAGAAATTCTCTGGCTCAGAACAAAGGGGACAAAGCACTTAATAAATATCTATTTAGTTTAACCTCAGCATTATTTCTACCTTCTTGTAGCATCAGCACCTCATATTTCTTTGAGGGAGCCACCCTTCCCATACTCTCAGTCTGTGAGGCTTGGTGAGCCTTTTTCCTCCGGTGGTGGTCACATGCCTGGGACTTGGCCAATTAGAATGACTGGGTCAGGGTTAGCATATGACACAAAGCAGCCAATGAGATTCATGACTCTTCCCAGAAGCATTAAGGAAGACATGTTTTTCTACTTTACCTATTATCTAAAATCAAAATTAATTTTTTTTTCTTTTTCATGGTAAGAATTTTAAAGATTTACTCTCTTAGCAACTTTAAACTGAATACAATATTTTTGATTATACTCATAATGCTGTACATTGGATCCTCAGAACTTACTAACCTTATAATTCGAAGTTTGGACCCTTTGATCAACATCTCCCCATCTTCTCCACCAGCCAGACCCTGGCAACCACCATTTTACTCTCTGTTACTATAATTTCAGGGTTTTTTAAGAATCTACTTATAAGCGAGATCACACAAGATTTGTCTTTTTTCTGTATGACTTGTAACACTTTGTATAATCTCCTAAACTTTCTTACATGTTGTCACAATGGCAGGATTTCCTTCTTTTTATGGCTAAATAATATTCCTATATACTCACTCATATATGTGTGTGTGTGTGTGTGTGTGTGTGTGTGTGTATGTGTGTATCACATTTCCTTTATACATTTATGCATTAGTAGTCGCTTGGTCTTTACTTTTACTTTATTATTGTGGATAACACTGCAATGAACATGTCAGTACAGACAGTAGATCTTAAAAGTTCTTCCCACAGGATAAAGGTAACTATGTGAGGTGATGGATATACTAACTAACCTTATTGTGGCAATCGTTTTGCTATATACATTTATATCAAATCAGTATGGTGTATACCTTAAAATTACACAATATTATATGTCAATTGTATTTCAATGAAGCTAGACAAAATTAATTGATCATAAAAATAAGATCCCATCCTTTATAATGCACTATACTGTTTTATTACAATGTTTTGGAGGGAAAAAATTCCTCCACATAAAATGTACACACCAATTTTGAGACATAATTACATCTAGAAACCTGAAGTCTGGAAAGAATAAATAAATAAACAAACATTGAAAAAGAGAGAGAGAGAGAAAAGCCCAGAGGCACAGGTGTGTGAACTTGGACATGCACGTGGATGCATGTGAGAAATCTGGGAATTGATGAAGTGTGGGTTTTCTTTTTTTTATGTTCATTTATTTTTGAGAGACAGAGCATGATCACAGGACGGGCAGAGAGAGGGGAAGAGAGGATCTGAAGGGGGCTCTGTGCTGACAGCAGTGAGTCTGATGCAGGGCTCAAACTCACGGTTAATGAGTTAACTGACGTTAACTCACGTCAGATCATGACCTGAGCCAAAGTCAGATGCTCAACCAACTGAGCCACCCAGGTGCCCTCTGAAATGTGGGTTTTCAAATGGACACAGAATTAAGCTGAGAGTACCAAGTTTATAGCATCAAGCACTTGGCCATGTATTCTTTCTTTATATGACAGCTAGGATTAGTGCTTAGCAAACACAACTTAAATTTTGGGAGCTCATTTTTTTTTTTCTCAGAAAAAGAAGTATTTCCTTTTTATTGCTATTTAGGGGCTATAATATCAATACAAACTGAAGGGTTAATGAAAGAAAAGTCAAGGCATCACTAAAAATGAACTTTGGAAGATGAAGATGTGTATATAACAGCAAAGTAAAGGAAACAAGATTACAGAGACCTACAAAATTAAATACACCCATAAAGTTTGAAGATTTCACTTTAAGCCCAAGGACATCAAAAAGCAAACAACATGCATAAATGCCCCTCGTGAAAATCTGAAATAGAACATCAAAGTCAGCATGTGGAAATCTGAAAATAAATAGATATGCACAACAGTTGTTTCCTGATGTGGTTACAGAAATCATGTCTAATTTCTTCAGTATAACCATTACACATACAAAACATTGTTAGATCCTATTTGAGTGATAGTCATTTCACAGCTAGGAGCCTAACCGGAAGGTCAATAAAGGTCAGATTCTTGCTCCATAGAAATCTCCCCAACGGCCTCCCTAATAACTGAATGCTGTCAGGCTTGAGCTAGTTATCTGCATTTTACAAACAAATATTGTCTTAAGCAGGCTTAATCGGCTACTTAGCTACCAGAATAATTGTGTGTACATTGGAAGTAAATGAATTGTGTGTACAAAGGAAGTAAATGAAGCACACACAAACAAGACACTCACCTTTTCTCCCCTGAGGATCGTGGCAGTTTTCATGGATGCACAGGCCCCAGGCAGACCAGGAAGATACTATACAGTTGGTAGAGCAGGGGATATTGCAGAGCTGAGAGGCTGGGGGGGCAGGTCCCAGACATAATGTCTTTTTCACAGGTCTAGAGACTAAAAAACAGAAAAAAAATAATGAACTGTGTCACTTTCTAAAATTATTATTATTATCTTAAGTTAATCTATTTACTTTGAGAGAGAGAGAGAGAGAGAGAGAGAGGGCAGGGGAGGGGCAGAGAAAGAAGGAGAGAGAGAATCCCAAGCAGACTCTGCATGGTCAGTGCAGTCTGATGATGGGCTTGAACTCACAAACCATGAAGTCATGACCTGAGCTGATATCAAGAGTCAGGCACCTATCCGACTGAGTCACCTGGGCACCCACATTCTAGAATTACTAATGTCTTTATTTGTGTGCCTACCTTGCCCACATGGTTCAATAGTATATAGAAACAAAACATAAACACTCTCCCATACTTGTTGCTTAGCTCTTTGCCATTAGCATTTTGGGTGAAAAAAGGTAAAAAGATATATATGGCACAAAGGGCATTCACTGAGTTTCCTGCTTCACAGAGTATTCCCTGGGAATTCAAGAGAGGACTGGAAATATAGATACAAATTATCTAGAGTTATGATTTAAACAAATTAAATGGCTTTGTGAAGTTTCAAGATGAGTCTATCTCCACTATAGAAATGACTGAGTTTCTGCAAAAAAATCAAAATCAAACCTCTGAGGTGGCGTGTTTAGCATAACTAATCTACTCCCCTGAGGGGTGGAGCTCTCAAAGACATAGCAGAAAAATGGTTCTTCGGAAAGAAGAAAAATCAGGATCTGTGGCTGCAGAATTAGCCCCTCAAAGTCAGTTTCATTAGTGAGGCTATCCAGAAGCACAAAGAATGTCTGAGAAGCCATGGGTAGATGCCAAACCAGGAGGCTTCCAGCCCTTCTTTGTGCACCTGCACCCAGAGTGTGCCCAGAACTGGGTCACTTCAGGATGCAGTGACCATCTGGCCATGAGTGGCATTCACCAAGTGACTTTTCCATGCAGATCCATTCTGGGCACCATGAAAATACACAGAAAATGAAAAAGATGAGCTCCTGATATTAGTTAGGATACAAATGACACAATAAAAGAATAGCCAAATGCATAACAAGCCTTGGACAGAGTGATCTCACACTAAGGTGGTTTTGGAGCAATTCAGAGTTTGTGAACAAATGGTTTAAGTTCAGACAGTTTTATCTTATGAAATGACTTGTACTACTGTCTAAATATTTCCCATATGTCATGTCCTCCAGTTAAGCAGATTAAAAGTGCTTCAAAGACAAAGACGGGTGTGACAGGACTGGGTGGTAAATCACACTATCTACTTTGCTTCTTCACTCTTTACATGGATGTGAATTCAATGTGGTAAAGACAGCAAGAAATCACATCTTGGACCAGCAGAAACTTGAACATAAATGAAAACAACAGCAAAATTTAAAATAGTGTTTTCTAGAAGTTGTGTGTTTTCTAGAAGTTCCCATGGGGAAAGATGTGTTTCCAACGAACAGTGGGGCAGCTTCAGGTGCTTATGAAGGTGAACAGGAAAAACAAGTTCGTGAACAAAAATAAGAATGCTTTGTTTCTGACTAAGTCTTGTATATTTGACCAAAAGGATGTGACCTGACTTAAAATAAAAGACAAGGGCAAAGCAACATGGCCAATGTAAATGTCAAAGATCACAAGCCATGTGGAGGAGGTGAGGATAGGAAGAGAGAACAAAACTGGGGTCAATCGCTATGTTACTGGGAAGGCTGAGCAGAGGTGGTGATCAAACAGAGATTCGGTTGGCCAGAATGACAGTGAGATGGAAGGTTAGAGTGACCAGGAATAGAACGTACCTATGACACTGGTGCATTGTGGATAAAGAAGAATCTCAGTATACTTCAATAAAATGAAAAAGAGAGAGAAAGAGAGAGAAAAGAAGGCCAGCCACCACCACCACCACCACCACCACCACCACCACCCCTTTAAGTTGGGTAAGGGGTCTGTGATTCCTTTCCCAGGGGTGAGCAAGAGAAAACACACAAGATTGCCATTCACTGACTACATCATGCATTCATTCTAAAACCATCAGTACCCACTTTAAATCATACCCTCTTGGATGGTGTCTGCTTTCAAGGAGCTCTCAATCAAGAAGGGTAAGTCAAGTAGCACATTAGCGAAATTGATGGAAAGTGATGCTTCAGAGCGTTGCAGGAATGGAAAGCTGCACACCCAGAGGTCTTAAGACAGAAATGCCTTTGGGTCTGGGCCTATGCTTGTTATCATATGTTCTCACAAACTCAAATGTTACTCTCCCCCCAAAAAAAAACCTAAGTAGTGATGGTAAAGGAAGTGGGGCTGTAAACTAATTAATCTAGTTATTTAACGCACATTTACAGTGCATGCCAGGCACTGGTTACAAACATCAATTCATTTAACCTGCATAACTTTGAGATATATATTATTACTATTTCAAGTTTAAAAATGGAGAATCCAGGGGCGCCTGGGTGACTCAGTCGGTTAAGCATCCAACTTTGGCTCAGGTCATGATCTCATGGTTCATGGATTCGAGCCTCACTTTGGGCTCTGTGCTGGCAGCTCAGAGCCTGGAGCCTGCTTTGGATTTTGTGTCTCCCTCTCTGCCTCTCCCCGACTCACACTCTGTCTCTCTCTCAAAAATAAATAAACATTATTTTTTTTTAAATGGAGAATCTGCAACACAGAAATGTTTACTCACTTGCCCACAATCTTAGTCAGTTGCAGAGCTGAGATGGGGATCTCAGGCAGCCTGGCTCCAGAGTCTGTGCTCTTAATCACTGCACTATGTGGCCTCATCATAGGATATTCAACGTACACTCATAAGTACCTACGATGTGTCAACACTGTATTAGGTGCTGAAACCAGAAGAGTGAGTAAAACAGACAAGGTCTCTGTCCCCATGGAACTCATATTTCTGTGTGAGTTAATACTAATCATACATGAATCCATGAGACCCAACAACAAGACTAGAAAGCTATTACTGCTACTTCTCTTTTCCTTTGTCTTACTACAACACCAGACAGTCTTTAGGTGTCTGGTGATCAATGCTTAGAAGATACCCCAACTTCTTAGCTCCAAGACCCAGGAGGCATGTGCTGCTACAACTTTTTTGAGGTTGAGCCCTGCAGCTGAAACTAATCAATCTACCACTGCAGCACCTACACCCAGAGGAGACCTTCACTAATATCATTAGAAGCTCCTGAATGTCTGTGTAATAAGTAAGCTTTCATATTGGCAGTACAACTGGAAAGAGACTGGGAATTTGTCCTATGTCAAAGACATTGTTTTTATAGATCATTATGTTTATCTTACATGTTTTTGGAGAGCTTTAAGAATGTTTGGGAGGTATGGGGTTAAGTCACCCCAGGTCCCCTTTGGTAAATACTTAACTGTCAATCAGTTGACTGCTGGATATTAGCGATAAGGGTATGCCTAAGATTTGGAAGCAGGGAGGGACATAGTATGCAAGAGAGGAGCTGGAGGGAGTGGGGTTCCCTGGAGACTATTAAGTGACAAAATTATGAGGCCCAGGGGTGGAAATGAGGCCATTTGTCAGAACACTCGTGCCTTTTTAGCACCTACTGTTTTGACAGACAGTAGATCTTAATCCATACAGATAAATTATCCCAGTCCCAGGCAACATGTCTAAGATGCTTCATCTGAGCATTGAATCAATGTACTTGGGCCAACCTATCTGTATCTCAGACCCTCTGGGCAACATTTGTTCTGGAAATAAATCATAAGCAAGTCACAAAGCACTTACCAGTTTCAGACCACTTAGGTAGTTTTCTCCCTAAGAACAGCAAACAGAGAATATTTCTATACCTATTGACTATTTAGACCTAGAAGAAAGCTTTAGAGCTAATTTAGTTTAATTCATCAATTTTACCAAAAAACTGAGACATTAAGTAGTCTTTACCAAAGACATTAGGTAGTTAGCAAATTCAGGCAGAGCAGAACCTGAGCCTTGTCTCAGGTGGTTGACTCACCTCTACCTGTCCCTGTTGGATTTCCTTCCATGGAATGGAGCCATCAGACAGGACACACAAGGTTGCTTCTACTAAGGATATTTTGTTTATGAATCACAGTGACTACAATGGAGGCAGTCAGTGACACAACAGATCCAAGATTTCCATGAAGTCTGCAGGCTCACTATAACCTTTTAAATAAAATCCAAAACCTTCTCCTACTTCATCACTATTTTTTTTTACTTCATCACTATTTTTAAACTCCTCCAAATCCTTGTCCATTCCTCCCCCACCAAGCAAGAGGTAGTGAGACCAAACTTTGGTCCACTTCAAAATATTGTTTACTTCTTTTATTTGTGGCTATTCACATTGTAATAAAATAATCTTGGGAGGTGGGTAGGATGTGAAAGTAAGATGGGCCACCTGAATTTGGATGGTTTATGCACTTTACTTGGCCAAACTCCAGCCATGATGTCTGTAGCAAGAATTGTGGTCTTTCCACCCATGTGAAATCCTTTCTCTGGATATACTGACTGAAACAACTTACTTCTCTTTACCAATTCTGTCTTCTCAGATGCAATGAATCCCTGCTCTAATCAGTGCAGGTCTGTACTTGTCTCTCTTGTACCAGATGCCTTTTAGACCATGTCACCTTGATGCCTTCTGCCATTCATTCCTGTGTTGACCAACTGCCTGACTAGATAAGCAATTACCCAAGGTCTTACAGTCTATTTAGGTTTTGTAGGCAGCAAAGTTAGTCCCTATAAAGACTTCTCATGGTCACAAAGTATTAAAGAGCCAAAATAATTTTCAACTCAGAAATTGAGATTGCTACATAGTGGTAGCTTTCCAAGTGCTATTACAATATTATAAGTGATTGTACATATGCAACAGTCAATTAATACTTTGAATATTTTGGTGCCTAACCTGGCATTTTTCCTTTGCAATAAGAAATTACTAAATTGACCTGACTAAGAGAAATTTGAAAGTCTGCTACTAATGATTGCAAAGTTGTCTTAAATAATGAATTGTTCCATGAACAGAATGCTAATTAATAAGAGGGAAAATAAGCTGGGTAGCTGAT